GTAAACCAATTAACAATCAGCAGCCCCAGAAAATTAAACAATGGTGCAAGATCTCTGCCCTCCTGGCACCATGTCAAGCTTTGTAGACAAACTGAAGTCTTGTTTTTATATCCATCTACTGTATCAAAATTTTATACATAAGGTAATAAAAGTAACAACGTGAAAACATCAGAGAACCCATCTGACATTTGCCCTGAGAACATGGGAATTGAAAGCCACTCTGCATTAATTTACTGCAATTAGAACAGTGTATGATTTAATTTTACAAAATACAGGGAAGAGCTCTTCCAGCACGTCACGTACTTCACCCTGCCTGTTCCTTATCTACAGGAATGCAAAATACAAACTCAGCATCTGGTTTTGTTGCCCCATCATCAGAAGGGGCCCCGGTTCTGAACTCCCCTAACAGTTAATTCCCACCACCTAACGTGCAGAGCACACACATGTGCTAACGACCACACATGATTAATTCCCAATATTCTTCCTAGTCACATATTGTTCATTTTCCAAAAGAACCACCTCTAAGGTCTTGCCTTCAAAACAGATTTAGTTATTTAGTTTTAGCTTCATTAATTGTGTGACAGCCATTACCTCTTCTGAGTCTTAAAGCAGGAACAAAGTTACACTCATAAGCAAATCATCTGAATGCTAATTACAAGAACAAAATGAAGAACACCAGAGAGTTTAGTTCAGGATTTTCTGCACATCCCTGTCAAATGCAGCTGATAGGAAGTAAACTCTTATCAAAAGTAACAGTGATGGAAGTGATGTCCACAGGTTTTTTTTGATCTGAAACATGTGAGCTGCTTGCACAGACTTGCACACAAAATCCATGCCAGACACATTCTCCCTCCAAAACCCCCATAGCTGTCGAAGGAGAGTATGGGATCTGCTTCTATCCAACAACCATTTAGGCATGACCAGTTTACATCTACAAGAATCTATTCAAAACCTTGTAAAAAGTGTGTATTTTTTTAATCTTAACACTCCTCCATTTGCTTTTCAGCACAGTACTACTCAAAAGATCCTGTGGGCTATTTTCCACAGCTCTTCAACTCCACCACTAAGAACATTTTCAAGTGAGGACATGGTAAAAACCCAGAATTTATTACAGCAAAAACAGACTTTTCCTTTGTTTCATCTTACTTGAAGTCCTGGTAACTTGTTGCTACTTCATTCTCTTCTTTCACAAGACATAAGAATTTTCTTTGGTTTTCCAAAATAAATTCATTTATTCTCCATAATATCTATTTCTATTCTGACAATTTAATTAGTAGTAATGCCTCGTTTCAAACCCTTGGGGAGAACAGCTCTTTTAGTTTACAGAGAATAAAGAGGCTCTACCATCCTGCAGCATTAGGGGAGGGATAAAAGTGAACCAAGTCTTGGGACCATCTTCACAGCCAACAGCCACCACTCAAGTCAACACTTCTTTATCCTTCAGTGACAGCAGTGTTCCCTCTAAAATATCTCATCACATCTACCACACTCCGTGTCTATATGTTTAAATTAACACAGAAGTCTGCAGGCAGTTTTTCTTCATTTCTTGGATTTGGTAGAGTTTACAAACTTTACCTGAATCTCTTCTTTCATCAGGTATGAAAGACCAACTTCCTCTTCCTCTTCACCTTCCCCTAAATCTGAACCCCCATCATCTTCATCATCTTCCTCTTCATATTCTCCTGGAGGACCAGCTTCATCCTCATCTTCATCATCATCATCCTCATCTCCTTCTGAAATTAAGGATACACTTATACAAATATACTAAAAGTTAAGTTTCATTAATTCCTCTTTAGGCAAGTTTATATACACCAGGTCTAGCTAGTTGTAACTTTTTTTTTTCCAGAAGGGTTTAGGGTTTTTCAACTTCTTAAAGGCAGGCAACACATGGGAAAAAAAGCATGATTTTAATAAAGTTTATCTTTATAATTTTTTTCCCTGAAGAAAGGCTACCGATGTTTTTACATCACAAGCTTCAGGCAAAATTCTCAACGCCTGAAGCAGCTACGTATGCAAATTCCTGCAAGGGAGCGGAAAATTTAGTCAGGGGAAGGGGAAGAGAAGCTTCTCTATAGAATCAAACCCCAAAATATTTAAAGGCAAAACCAGCTTAACATATTACATTTATCTGTTATTTAATCTCAACTTAAATTTTAAGTTACTAATAAGTACTAGGAACTGTGAAACACCTACAGTTCCAAAGAGCTGCTCTCTCATTTCATCCCTGTGTCTGGAGCACATAATCACTTGCACAGTTTCAGTTAAGTGAATTACAAGAAATGATCAGATGATTTAACACATTCATTTTCAAGTTAACAACCTATTAATCTATTTTCAAATATTTAGTTTATTTTCATATTCCAAGTATTGACTATTTGCCTTTTGTTGCCTTTTTGTTGTCTTTTTAAACACAGGCTTCCAAACTTGGATGTATCTAAGTACTCCTCAGCAGCCCTTTGACAGCCACAACCCAGCTCACAGCAGCAGCAGCTCCCAGCTCATGATTTAAGGTACAAAGAAAACACTGAGAAACCTCTGTCATAAACAAATACAGCCCAAATCTCACTAGTTATTTGTGTGGATATTTTAAACGCAGACACGCGTGAGACGCTGCATCGCAACAGCCCATCGTATTTGCTAACAGCACTCAAACACACTTGGGATGTTGTTTTCTCAACGGTTTTGACTGTGTCAGTCATCTGTTAAGCCACATAGGTTTAAAAAAGAGCGCGCAGACTGTTCCTGCAGTCACATCAACAACCTGTGGCCACACACTGACAGACCTGTACCTACAGGTTTCGTTTTCAATCAGGTAACGATGGAAAATGATGTAGGAATAGCCTCGTTAATGACAACTGAGGTCAGATCAAAAGGAACTATATATGGTTTTTTTAACAAAAAATTGTGTTAGGCTTGAGCATGAGACAAAAGCCATTAAAAAAAAAGTTAAATTAGAATTTTTCATACAAAATAATGTGTTTGTTCCCTAACTTTTTATCATTCAGTAGTGCCAAAGTGCTGTACTACTGACAACAACTTATTCTGAGAGTATATCTTTGTAACAGTATCTATAGTCAAACTTCCTTAAACTCAGGCAGTTTCTGCAAGAACACTCAAAACCTGACAGGAGTTTTCCTCCTGTATCACAGTGTGTTAATACCAACTGAGTTCTAGAAGGCTGCACTTCAAAAATAAGAGCACAGAACTGTGCTAGCACATTCAAGAAGTCACTATACTCCACGCCACATTTACATCTTCATTACAAAGTACTACTTGTAGCCACAGTTTATTTCAGGAAGTTACCCTCATCATCATCATCTTCTGAGTCCGGTGCCTCATTATCTTCCTGATCAAATCCATCTAGGTATGTGATTTGTTGAAGCAGCTCAAAAATGCTGTCTCTGTAATCCTCGAGGTTTGTGATCTCACAGTTGAACAGGTCAAGGCTCTTCAAGTTTTTGAGATTTTGCTGAAAATAAATGAAAAGTTGTTTGGTTTTTTTCCCCCCCTATTTCTCAACATGTTACTTCATGTGGTCATCATGTAGAGTTAACCATATAGCCACCTACAGAATGTATTTTGTCCCCATCCTTTTTCTAATCAGTATTTTTCTCCCCATTAAATACAAACTTCAGTTCAAAAACTTGTCTGCAGTAGTCAGAACTCCTAACAAAAGCCCTCCACAGCACATTTGCAGCACGCCCAACGCATCCTTGAAGCACTAGATGCCCGTAACACATATTTGGGGATGTTTTTTGTTTGCAGAGACTATTTTTGTTCAGGCAATGCGGGGTAAAAACTTAACAACTCCAGCAGCCTTTCAGGAAAGAGTTTGACTGATTTAATTCCAGGCATTTTGTGAGGAGCAAGCAAGAGGCACTGGGTAGGATTTATAACTACATTACAGAATTTGCTTTCCAAACAATAAAGATTAGACAACCAAAGGTGATTTTTCTCACTTTTCAGACTTTACACACACACACAGAACGAGCCCTCTGCATGGCTTGGCAAGCACCTAAGATCTAAATAAAAGCATTTTTTCCCATCTGTAACTGCTTTACTCAGTTTACTAACTGCTGGGTTAAAGCATCATTAAAGTAGATGAAGAATCTTTATGAGCAGTTTTAAAAACATGCAGTCTGTATCAAAATCCTAAAAAAATAAATCATCAGCTAGAAAAATGGGTGCAGAGATGAGGTGGTGACAGGCATTGGCAGCTTCTTCCTCCACTTCAGTGACCTACAACTGGTGCTTTCCAGGTTTGTTCCTGACCGAGCGTCTCGTACACACATCCTAATCACTTCACAGTTTAACGAAAGCTTAAGGCAGTCGCTTATTAGACAAACTACACCCTTAACAAATGAACACAAGAGGATTAACGAGACAGAACTTGGCTACTGTGCTTTCAAAGACAAAACAGGAACTCAGAAATCTCCTCTTCAGTACATCCCGCACTAACACGGAAGGAATTTTACAGCGGAACATTTACAAGTACTGTCTCTAAGGACCATGACATCAAGTTAATCAACTCAGGAGCAAGTGGGATACTGACAAACCTAAAACACTTCACCTGAGCTGACACCATAAAACATTCTATAGAACATATGAAAGGTAAGAAAAGACATTTCATTTTGCACATCTTTCAGCTGAAAAGGAATAGAAGCAGCTAGAACGCTGTACTTCATTTCTTACATCGTACTAATTTACTAATATGCTGGTTTTATATACTAAAAATTGCTCATGTGCAGCCCTGACATGTAAGTTTGTAGCATTCCATTGCAAAAATGATTATTTATTAAAAAAAAATATATATATTAGATTTAAATCTTCCATGAACCCCTCTTACTTTGTACTTACAAGAGCTTCCACAGTGCCAAGATCTTTGATTTTGTTGCCACTTAGATTTAGATATGTGAGATTTGGACATCTTTCTGCAAGGACCTCCAGGCCTCCTGAAATGATGTTGTCGCTCAACTCCAACTATTACACAGAAAAAATTTCAATCATTAAATAGTTTGATTTTCACCAGTGGATTCAACCCCACATCATTTTTAATCGTTCTCTCTTTAACTGAACAGTTTCATCACAAAGCTGAACACTTTTGGAGGGTCGCAGAAGTCAACAAGCTCCAGTTGAGTTATCGCTTTGGTTGTCAAAAAGTTCCTTCAAGTTTACTTTGAGAATTGTAAAGTACTCCATAAAATCTCACAGGTTGGAATATTTAAAGTTAGCAGAACATGTAATACTGGAATTCACCACAAGCCTTTACTCTGCCAGTGATGGGCAACGTCACCAGCTGGGCAACCCAACAGCCTCTTCCCAACCACCAGCGCTCAGCGAGACACGGCCAACCTTCGCATTTACCGTCCTAAGAGTTGGTGACCAAGCTCTACTTGGCCATAATTAACTGAAGATACCCAAAACAACTCCAGATCTTAAAAAAAAAATCATATAGATTGGACGTGGCATCATTTCACAGCCCTGCCATCGCCACCCAAGTTCAACCGCGAGCGCCAAAAGGCACAACCATGAGTTGTCACCCCCGAGTTTTACTTCTCAAAGCGCCGGCGGGTGAGACGCGCACGTACCTTTCGGAGCTTACTCAACGTGGGAAGTTTGGCCAACGATGTCAGCTCTACATTGGCCATGCTAAGAAATTCGAGTTCTTTAAATGAATCATTCAGACCTTCGATTTCGCCGTTGCTGGATCGGCAATTATCGAGCACCAACTCCGTCACCTTCGAAGAGGACAGCAAAGTCACTTGTCAGTTTCATGACCACCAAAAAACAAACCCAAAAAAAAACCCCAATCCCACACATTTCATCTCAACCACATCTTGGAGACTGTTAAATATCTGTTGGTTTGATGATGAGTTTCAATTCAGACGAGACTTGTGGTCTGAAATCACTGCCACCCACCTATTTAATAAATAATAAAAAATAAAAACCCACACAACAGTTTCTCTTCCTCTGAACATGCTTCAAATTCTCCAAAAACTGTCATCTGACCCCAAACTTGATTGACTTTTAGAGCTTTCCTACAGTGCCACTGCAGCCTGGGGTACAAACTGCCCTTGGAGACAAGTGAACCGCTGACTTGTTTCTAAAGTCTCATTTAATTGTCCATATTCCAAATTCCAAAGCATTTCATTTCTTTCTGAACCCTAAAAATTTCTGGCTCCAGATTATTTTAGCCACCAGTCTTGTAGGTTAATTAAACCCAATTAAATAATTTCCTCATGCCAAAGCCACTAAAAACAACTAGATAATCGATACAGGTCACTTATTTTGAGAAGCTGTAACAAGGAGCAGCCAATTAATTTTCAATTATTTTATCTACAGTGGAACACACCACTCATTAGAAAGGATATTAACGAGGCGATTGCCTTTCTCTCGCACGCTTTTAAATAATTACATTTTAAGATCACTACAGAAACCTCCGAGTGACACAATTTACCAGTTTCAACTAAAAAACACGCTCTCGTTTTATTTTTTTTTATTTTTTTTTTTCTATCATCAAACACAACTCCAAAGAAGCACAAAGTTTTCAGGAAAGCTACCAGGGAAGAGGGGGGTCTCCACATCTTCGCCCCTGAAAGACGCACGCTACGAGCGCACGGAGACCCCGCCAGGTACCTGCTGCTGATAAAACTCAGTGAAACACGGGTTCAATCAACACTTTTAGGTACTTTTTTCCCCCCCAAAATCCCGCGTGGGTCGGGTCAACCTCACTTGATACACCCGGATCTGGACTTTACTCCCGATGCGAACCAGAAGCGACAGGTTTTGTTGGGGTTTTTTTTTGTTGTTTTGGGGTTTTTTTAAGTGACCTCGATGCAAAAAACCATCTGCCAGAGCCACGAGTGGGGCAGCGGGGGTGAGAGGTGACCGCGGGGGGACGAGACACGCGTGTCCCCTGGGCTTTGGGGTGACATTTTGGAAGAGACTAGGGTGGGGAGGGGGACATCCCACGCACCCCCC